TCACAGCAGGCCTAGGGTATCTGAAGCCTTCTGGTTCTTAATTTGTCACCCCAATCCACAGAAAACAGTCTCTTTATTTAAAGGAGCAGGGAGGTGGATGACTTCCCTCTTAGACCTAGTAATCCATTCTATAAAAGACGAGGGTTAATTTTGTCAGCCTAGCCAGTCTGAGTCTTCACAGAAATTTTGTTCACCATTTGAGGTTTAACTACACAATGGGATGTGAAAGCAAAGACCTGTAAGCTACACAAGTTTTGGTTAAGACTCCAAAGAAGGAGCTGGAGAGATGGTTTCTCGGTGATTAAGGGCACTTCTTGCTTTCCCTAGGACCCAGGTTTGATTCACAGGACCCCACACTAATCCCAGAAGCTGTGAAAGAGTGAGAAGCATAGTAGACCCTGTATCTACTTGCCCAGATTCCATTTGGAGGCTAGCTGAGCTGTGTTCATACTTTCCTGAAAAACCCTATTCCTTTGAGTCCAGCTTTCCAATACCAATGCTAGTTGTCTTGAGGGCTCATCATGAAGACTGCAGGCATGCTTTATGTGAAACTGCCAGTCTAAGGCATAGTGCCAATGGAAGCTGGAGCTGCTGTCACTGTGCTTGCTAGGGTGCCTGGCCTCAGCTTCAGGTGCTGTGATATAGTGTGACTGTGTCCTTGGCAGTTCCAAGCTTTCAGATAGCCCTCAGTATTCAAGGTCATCCAGTTTATTTCCGGTGGGAGAATAAAGAACTTATCAACAGATAGAATATGAATGTATTTATCTCACCTGCGGGTTTGGGCTTGCCTTCCTTGTCCTTTTCCTGCACAGAGACTTCTCTATGAAATTGTCAGATGAAGAACTACATTGTACACAGCCCTCTGTTCTTACCCACCTCAATAAGCCCAGGCCACACACGGTCCTGGAGTGGAATGTTGTTGTCAGAGAGAGGCACACCGGATAACCAAGACTTACTGTACAATACTGAAAAAAATTGCTCATCAATTTTAAAACATGATTTTATTCTGGAACAATGACATCGTGTATACACTGAATTTTATAAAATGTATTTTTCTCATGTGGCTTCTAGGAAAATTTAAAGTACAAAATGTGGTCTGTTTCTATTATGCAATTCTCTCTGGTATACACTTCTTTATTCATGTTTCAAAGCAATCATTCAGAGTAGACTGAAACACCCTTATTTCACAGTTGATCAGACTGAGGCATAGTGACAAAGCCACTTTCCAAACTCAAAACTAGACATAGGACCCCTGGCTCCACAGGCTGTCCTGTCCAGATCTTGTTGCCCACCTACTGCCTAAAGAATAAATGGGTTTAATACTGTGCTAAATGTACTATGTGTATATTTATATCCTAGAATGGGGAGCTGAGGGATTGTCATAGCTGAGTATATTACATTGGGTCTTTCTTTTTCAATACCCCTTTAGCATTATCATTGTGATGTATCAAGATTGTCTGCTTGGGAGTCCGTTATGACAGGACCCAGGCCACTAGTTTGGAACTCAGGGACCAAAAGTTCCAGGCCCAGAATTTCCATGTGGCCATAACCAAGACATCTCAGGACCTCCTCATGTGTGAAATGAAAGGCAAAGACTAAAAGACTCGTCTTTCTTGTTTAAAAACCCATTGTCAAGGTCAGGATGACCCAGAGACTGTTTGCAGGTTCATGTGAGCTTGGAGATGTTTTTCTTTCTTGTGAGTAAACGACAAAGTAATTGTGGTTGTATCATCAGGAGCCTGAAGTGTCAAAGCACAAGAAACATAATGTTACTGCGTGCATATATATTATATACACAAATGCGTAAATATAGTAATGTATGTATTATATACAGTTACATATGCAACAAACAGTTTTTAAGTCACTAACAGTCCAGTTTTAAATTTTTCTTCTTTTTTGTATTGTAATATAATCACATCATTTCTCATTTCCATTTTCACTCTCCGAAACCTCCCATACACCCCTTATTGCTCTCTTTCAAATTAATAGCCTCCTATTTTTCATTAATTGTTGTTACATGCATATGTGTATATGTGCAAACACAGATGAACATGTACACACACACACACAAGCGTACACACACACTCACACACACACACACACACACACACACACATCCTGTTCAGTCTGTATAATGTTATTTGTATGTTTGTTTTCAGGACTGATCATATAGTGCTAGATAACCAGTTGGACTATTTTTTCCCACTTTTAGCATTTTAGACAAACCATATTTAGTATCTTCTCTACTGTCTGCTGGTAACTACCAGATAGGAAGAATTCTCAGGTATATGCTGTGCTGACCAAATTACTTCAAGTTAAAGTGGAGAAAGCATGAGCAGGCAGACGGTACAGATGTCAGCTGTAGCCTGTACGTTTGTCACATGAGGGCTGAATGCTACCAATCAGTGGCTGTCCCAAGTCCTGAACCCAAAGGCAGAAATCTAAGAACATGGCAACCGTGCCACCACACACGGTGGGGCATTCTCTCATGGCAGAGTTAGTGCCACCTATGCTTCACCTGTGTGTCATTATGTCAGCCTGATCTTCTGTGCACTCCCCCCTCAACTGTATACAAGGCAGGTAAAAGTGGTTCCTTGGCTTCCCCCATGTGAACAGTGGAGAAGGAAATGAAATTAGACACAATTTTCATTAAGGAAAGCAGTTCTGTCACACTGAGGTCACCCCTTTATAAAACCAACCTAACCCACACTGTGTAGTCATAACTCCAGTGAATAACTTTCTCCCAAGGGCTTCCACACTGATCTCAAGTTCCTTCTTGCTATGCTACATCGTCCATGCATCTATTCTCTGTGTATTTGGCTCTCTCTAAAGGCTTGTGTCTTGTTCGGTGCTCAAGATTTTTGCCTTTTTAAATTTTTATTACTATATTATTATTATTATTATAGTTTTTATTTCATATGGATGAGGGTTTTATATTCACGTATGTATGTATGTATACCACATGTGTGTCTGTGACTTTTGAGATCAGAGGGAGGTATCAGATCCCCTGGAGTGGAGTTACAGCCAGTAATAAGCCATCATGTGGGTGCCAGAATTGAAACTGGGTCCTGGAAGGGTAGCAAGTACCTGCACCTGCTGAGCCACCCTCCAGTTCCTTGCTCATATTTTAAACACACTTTCCAGACTATCTAACCTAGTCTCAGGAACACAGATCAATTGGAAGTCCTGGATTTGATCTTTGTCCATGCATTCTAGCAAGTAAATGATAAGATTTAAAGAGGAGGCAAATGTTTCACTGAGTGTAAAAACCCTACAATCCTAGTGCTGGGACTTTCCCAAGCCTTTGTTGATGACCAAAGCAAATGAGTGCTTCTGCTTCTTCTAAGTGGGAGAATGAAAAGCACGGGTTCTCGTTTGTCCACTTTTCAGAGTGGTACCCACAACTTGTCATCTGTGTGAGTCCCTGCATCTAGGCTAGCAATTAATGTCTTGGTAGGACATTATCCCAACAGGCAATGCAGTTCAGGCAAGCAGAGGGAGGAAGTTTGTAAGCCCAAAAATCTCCATTTAAGCTTTTAATCTGGGCACTGAGTTGTGAAATGAATTATGACTTTTTTTTATGTCCTTACATAAGAACATCAGCAATAAACTGTTGATTTTAGTAGCCCTGACTTCCTATGCCACACTGTGTGGTTGTGGTGAGAATGAACTCTGCCAGCTGTGGGCCACTTTATAAGTAGTAAAACTTTGTTCTCTTCTGGATATGTTACCTCTTTCATCCCATTAGGCACACTGTAGTGGCTTCCTCTGTTCAGAAGACTTCCCAATTTTTAGGCAAACGAATAAATATCTCTCCATAGAATATAATCCTAACATATAGCCCCAACCTGTTTCAGTCATCCTGCTCCCTCCTGCCTGCAGTCAGTATACACACTTTAACCACTGCCAAATTCAAGAAACCATTCCCAAACTTAGTGATGAAACCATAGCCATTGATATTTGCTCATGAGCCAGGGAGGATTTACTTCCTCCCAATCAGACACACAGCTGACCAGACCTGTTCTTATTGCAAGAGTGTAGCTACAGATGCTGGTTCGGCCTATTGGCTTATCTGCCTATATACAATTTGTCAAACCCAAAGCTCCAAAACATACCACACATGAGGAGAGGCAGCAGAAGAGTTTGATGCTGGGTGAAGCACTAGATTATTCATTCAGTCATCCACATATCATTATCTACCACATTGGAACAGAAACCTCTCGTGGGAGACATGGGTTGCAGAAGTCAACTTGCTTCTGTATCACTCACGCCTCTGCGGGAGGCTGACAGGAGGGAAATATTTCTTAGATTCTTTCTGGAGTCTAAATAATGTTTCTAGTCCTTTTCTTTCTACCAGGGATTAGTAAACTATGCCGACTATGGAAAGCCTCCTTTTGTACAACTATCCAGCTATTTAAGACGTTTAGGAAGATGTCCCTGTGGCTATGAGCACATAATGCTCTTGCAAGAACCTGAGTTCACTTCCTAACACCCACTTCTGTTTAGCTCACAACTGCCTGTAACTCCAGTCTGGGGTGACTCACAGGTCTCTCGCTTCTGCTGCCACCTGCACTCATGTGCAAAGACCTGTGAATGCACACACACACACACACACACACACACACACACAAACTTAAAAGTGAAATAAATCTTAAGATGGAGAGTGATATTTAATATCACATGAGAATTATTTGACAGTCGAACCTTTGTGTCCATAAACAAAGTTTTATTGAAACACAGCCATACCCCTGCTCTATCTATTGTTTCTGGATTCTTCAGATCTATATAAACTGTTGGAATTGGAGTTGCCATGGAAACCGTATGTCCCACAAAGCCTAAAATATTTACTCGCTAGCTCTTTACAGAAAATGTCTGCCACTCCTACTTTATAGTATAAAGAGAGAGTTTGGGAGAGGCAGGGCAGGGCTCACCACTATAGATGTTCATTGGATTACTTCCATGTTTACTTGGGGTTAATAGTTTCTTCCTTTCCTCCCTAGTAATTTGCAACTGGAGATACTCATGTTCCAGTAATTGTGAGACATCTCTGCTGCCACTTCATGACCCAGGGGTGTGTGGCTCAGTGAAGTTCCCAAGGTGTACAGCATGACCTTGCTGCTCCTGGGCGTGGTGCTGCTGGTGGCCCAGCCCCAGCTTGTGCCTTCTCACCCAGCTGTTCCCGGCCCAGATTCCAGACAGCAGGAGCTTCTGAGAAAAGTGGGTACCCTCCAGGAAGACACCCGAGAAGGTGCAGCGGCCAATGGTTCCACAAAGCAGTTACCACAGACCATCATCATTGGGGTGCGCAAGGGTGGTACCCGAGCACTGCTGGAGATGCTCAGCTTGCATCCAGATGTGGCGGCAGCTGAGAACGAAGTTCATTTCTTTGACTGGGAGGAACATTACAGCCAAGGCCTGGGATGGTACCTTACCCAGATGCCCTTCTCCTCCCCGAACCAGCTCACCGTGGAGAAGACACCTGCCTACTTCACTTCGCCCAAAGTGCCTGAGAGAATTCACAGCATGAACCCTGCTATCCGCCTACTGCTCATCCTGAGGGACCCTTCAGAGCGCGTGCTGTCTGACTACACCCAGGTGTTGTACAACCACCTTCAGAAGCACAAGCCCTACCCGCCTATCGAGGACCTCCTGGTGCGGGACGGCCGGCTTAACATGGACTACAAGGCTCTCAACCGCAGCCTGTACCACGCACACATGCTGAACTGGCTACGTTTCTTCCCACTGGGCCACATCCACATCGTGGATGGCGACCGACTCATTAGAGACCCTTTCCCTGAGATCCAGAAAGTCGAAAGGTTCCTGAAGCTGTCCCCGCAGATCAATGCTTCGAACTTCTATTTTAACAAAACCAAGGGCTTCTACTGCCTGCGGGACAGCGGCAAGGATCGCTGCTTACACGAATCGAAAGGCCGGGCGCACCCCCAAGTGGATCCCAAATTACTAGATAAACTGCACGAATATTTTCATGAGCCAAATAAGAAATTCTTCGAGCTGGTGGGCAGAACATTCGATTGGCACTGATTTGCCGTCAGTTAGGCCCGGGACTTTACCTGTTGTTAACTTCTGGTGTACATCTGTGGGCAGGGGGGAAAGAATTTTAAAAAGACATTTAAGCTATAATTTATTTGTAAAACCCACAAATGACTTCTGTACAGTATTAGATTCACAGTTGCCATATATAGTAGTTATATTTTTCTACTTGTTAAATGGAGGGCGTTTTGTATTGTTTTTCATGGTTGTTAACATTGTGTATATGTCTCTATAATATGAAGGAACTTAACTATTGCACTGAAAAAGATTTTTCTGGAGACATCTTTTTTTTTAAATATAATTAACTTGCCTCCAATTCAAATAGCTCTCTGTTTGCACCCTCCTTGTCAAATTTATTTTCTTTTTCTGCTTAAAAATTTTATTGGTATTATGGACTTCTTTCTGAATTTGTTCTTTTAATATTTAATATCTCACTGTGGTAATCAGATGAAGTTTTTACTTGCACTTTAAATTTTCTCTTCACTGAGAGTCTCTATTATTTTTGGAAGAGGCAGTTGTATCGGTTCTCAAGTTAGCCTCAGTATGGGTTTAACCCCTGTCAGCCTACATAGGAGTTTAACCTCTGTCAGCGTACACGTAGATTTAACTCATGTACATTTACCAGTTCAGAAGATAGTGCTGAGGATGGAAACACAAATGATGGCCTGAAAGAAGATCTCTAAGATCCACTTTTGTCTCAGAGGATACCTGCACATACCTCCAATCTCAGCAATAGGAAAGACCCATAATACACAAGATTACATTTTAGATTTCAGAATTATCTTGGGGCTGGAAACTTTGTCTTTTGGAGCAACTGGCCTCTGAAAATTTACTTGATAGAGAAATGGAAGCACACACAGTCTCGTTGTGTGTGTGTATGTCCGTTCTGTAACTTGCATGAGGGGAAGAGTAAGAAGCAGATTTCCTGGAAGATCAATATGTGCTTATGATCTTCTAATTTATACTCACAGACATATAAACAAATATGCTTCAAAGTCCGTTCCAACTTTAAAGGAAAGAAAATTAAAACTCTCAAGGGTTGAAGTTAAGATGTGAAAAGGTCACAGGACACATAATTGGGAGAGTTTCCCTTCTCCCTAGAATATCTCTTTAGTAGAGGCTGCTCACAAAAGCCGGTTGTAAGCCTCTGGATTGTCATGCATACCTGTCAATCAGCCTTTTACAACTGAACAGACTAGACCTTTTCCATAAGAAAGTAAAATGAGGCCATTGCAGTAGGAGAGAATACTCACCAGGAGTATGAAACCATTTCCTGACAGTTTGTTTGGAAGGAATGAAACACAAATAGGCATTATTGATCCTATTCTCTATCTAAGAACACTCTGAAACTTCCTCCAAGCAAACTCAAGATGAAGGGGTTACTGCAACAAGTTCAAAGAATAGAGAATAGGCCTCCAAACACAAGGAACTTGCTGAAGGTCACAATATCAGGCTTAGAGTCCAATTGTAGCCAATGTACAAGTAACTGGTTACTTATTTACTTCCACCCTGCTCTAGCTATACCTGAACTCTAAGCAAGTAGCTCAAAACCAAAGGAAATGTTTGTCTGACTTGACTTGACATGCTTTTCCTGGTGCCAAAACACTTCCGCCCTGAATGCTGTGTTAGAGCTAGAGGAAGAGCAAGAGGGACAACAAAATTTTTCTCAAGAGCAGTCTTCTTAGGGAAATGAATCACTTTGGTTGTTTTAGCAATCCTATCCTGACCCGACCTTAGTCTGGTCCACACCCCATTCCTGGCTAGGCCCTGATAGAAAGGAGGTTGCCCTCCTTTTCAGAACCCATTAGAATTGCCATTCAACCATTGTCTCCTTATAAAGGGAAACAGAAATATTTATAGCAGACTTCTATAGACATTGTGATACGCAGGGTACTGCCCTCTGCAGCATATCCTTGTGTCTTTTGTGTCATTAACTTGAAGACTGAGAGGAACCACAAAGGGTAAATCAAGGTTCCAAAGATGATCAGGAATGTGGTGACTGAATCAAAGCTCCAGTAGGAATCCCTGGTGATCAAGAAGATGCCTTGGTGGAGATGATATAGATGGAGCCTGGTCTGTTGCATCCAAGGATGCTGGTTAGAAATAAAGAAAGTCAGAACTGGTACCAGATGTAAGCTTCACCTGTTAGATCTGGCATAGCTGATGGCATGTGGCAACACAGTGTAAGTGATTAGTGGATGTAAATTCTATTAATTGCTTTACTGGGCGCACACATTATCGACTCGGGGCATCATATTCCAGCATACCACTAGGGAAAATATCAGGAGTCCCAATAATATCATATATTCATCACTTTTTGATAAAACTCCAGTGGGTCATCAGTACATTCTGAGGAGCAAAAGAACCATCACTTCCTCCTTTGCTATAGATGTCTTCTAACTCCTGTTACCTTCAGAGAATGCTGTAATGGACCCATGGTCATTCCTGTCAGAACACAATGCAGGGCGATAAGAGTCGAAAGGCATCTGGCCTCTCCTGACCATTGCAAATGCTAATCCTACTACAAAGACAGTTTCCTGATTTGGTGGGGTGGGGCTATAGGTTCCCAGGTTCCCACCCCAGCCCAGGTCACAACCACCTGAGGATTCCAGAGGAGCAGCTGAGATTTGCTGAGCCAAGAATCACCTATGGGCTTGGACTCACACCTCATTTGTTGTTCTGGAGTGAAAATAGCATCAATTTTCCTTCCTCCAGGAATTAGACAGTATTAAAATCCTGGTGATACTATGTGACTATCAATTAACAGCCTGGAAATTGGTTAGTTTGTGAAGAACCATGATAGGCCTCTGAGCTCAGGATGCCTTGATCTTTCCACCCTCAGCAGAAGATATATATAGGATAGAAGAAACCACTGTCCATCATGTCTGATGCTTAGAGATGTGGAGACAAAAGATCATTATATTCATTAGAATGACCCTTTTCTTGAGTTCATATTGTAAACCAAGGGTGGTGATAATTCTTCAAAATGTATAAAAAGAAAAGCCGCAGGAAATAATAGCCATTAAGTAGATGAGGTTTTAATAAGAAGAAAAGAAGTGCTAAGAAGGCAAATAAAATGGCCTTGAGTTGTATACAGGCTGAGCAGGACACTGTGTTCCAAAATTTGGCATCAATTCGACCACATCCCCAGAAAGATCATCTAGTCTGCATGAAGAGCATGAATGAAGAATGAGGTATGAGATTTTTCTGAATGCCAATCCTTTGCATTATGTTTTTTTAGAAGAAAGGAAAGAATATTATCTGAAGGTTTCACTAGCGCTATGGTCAAAGCTGCTTAATTCAAGGGTCACAGAAAACCGACCCTTTTGTAGGAAGACTTTGAGGAGGAATTGCCCTAGAGCCAGAAAACGAAAGCCATTGATGTTACCAAAGGGAAATATCATAAGGACATGTCTTGAAACAAAAAATGGTGATGGGGAAGGGGAAGGAGGTAGGGTAAGTACAGGAAAAGTCTTGTCTAACAAGTGTTTAGCCTGTGTTAAACACATTAAACAAGCAAGACGTGCCAGCTGCTTACAGCTTTGGAAGGTGTTTACCAAGATGGAGGTGATGAAAGCCTCATGGCCTCCCATATGTCTTTAACTCCTGTGCAAGTTTATTAATTACGTAAGAATAACCATCATTATTACATACCCACTTTGTGCTTGGTATCTTAAATACATTGCTTCTAAACTACATACAAACTCTGAGAGAGGAAATAGTGCCCTAGTTTCATAAAAGAAGAAACTCATCGTCAGAGATTAAAAAGGGTTTTCCTGTGATAACAGAGAAAGTTATTGATTTCATTTGCATGTGTTTTTCCAGTGTCCTGAATGTGGTCAACTTGCACCCATCCTGTGGTGAGTAAAAGAAAGAAGTAACACATAGATCTCTGTTAAGAAGGCAATATCTAAAAGAAGCTATAGGGTGTGAGGTTAGACACAGTAGGACACTGAAGTCACCTCCCGTAGAACAGCACATGAAGGATGTCCTAAGTGTGGGCAGAAGTTAAAAGAAAAAAAATCACTGAGCATGAGATAAAGGGCAGAACATGTAGCACCAAATAAGCATATCACCTCATCCAGACACCCACCTAAGAAGGAACCCCGGATCTTTAGGTCACTCTGGTGCCAAGGTATCTCCATTTTCCTCAAATTCTACAGATGGGTAAAAACAGAGAAAAAAAAACAATTACAGTCAGGAGACCTGGTGTAAACCTAATTTTGGCCATGTGGCCTTCAGCTCAAATTCTCAGAGCCTTAATTTCTCTTTCTTTCTTTCCTTCCTTCTTTCTTTCTTTCTTTCTTTCTTCATTGCTTCCTTCTTTCCTTTCTTTCTTTTTTTGGTGAAAATGGGCTGCTACTTCATTCAGTTTGGGGAAAAGTCAGTGACATGAACTGTAAAGACCACACAGTGGTGCACACATATGGCTTAACTGTGAACTGGGGTTAGGGATTTAGGAGACACACAGGATCTGATTGTAAAGTAGTCAGCAAAAACTCACTGTCTTTGTTCTTTCACCCACTGCCCAGCTATGTGACTATAGGCATTGCTGTTAGTGCTCCCAGGCATATCCTGTCTTCCAACACTTCTCCATCTTCCATCTCCCACAAAGGGAATCTATTAATAGCTATGAAGAAATGTGTTCTTGAATTTTTATCAAATGACATGTTAACTGGAAATGGCTACACCCCATTCATGCTGGGAGCAAGTCATTAATGTTTGACTGTGTGAGGTGGAGAGTGAACTGGGTGGTGATGGGGAATGTTTTAGGTTCTTTGCCTCTTCACAGGAGACTTCATAGTACAATGTCTGCTCATAGATCCCCCTGAAATCAGCCTAGATACAGACTTCCAAAAAGCGTGCCTGTTGTTTCTCCCCATACTTTTCTACTCCTCTTATTGCACTCACTTCTTTTGTCACCCCATCAGCAGGAAATGAATTCCATGTCAACTTTTGTCAATGCAGTAAAACATGATGGCATGTGACTATAATCCCAGCACTTGTGACATTGAGGCAAGAGGATCACTAGTTCAAAGTCATCAGGAGCTACATAGGGAGACCCCATCTCAGGAAAGAAAAAATGTCAATACATCATTGTAAAACTTCAGGTTACAGTTCATGGAATATTTCTGGGGCCCATAGATAAGTCTGCATTGCTGTGATTTACTTCTGTTCCACAGTACAATATTTTTATTCATTTACAATGTTCCTTTCAGGGTCAACACAAGGGTGAGACTTCCTCTTGATTACAACTTTGTGGTCCTTTGCACTGTGCCTGCCTAAGTAGGAGGTAAACAGAAAGTACTTATTTGTGGATCAGATGGTAAATCTTGTCTAGTTGTCAATCTAATGTGAAAATTCGCTCCATCACATTGCAGCCTCACA